GTGCCAGCATGTAAACTCCCACCGTGTCACTGGATGGGATTTCAGTTATTTGTGAAACGGCTGTGCATGAGTCCATGTGGCACTCACAGTTACATGTCAGTTGTCACTTTAGCACCCAAAGATCTATTTGCACTAAAAACTCTCCTTGTTTGCTTTGCTATTGTCTGCTTGCCTGACAAATCCCAGTGTCAGCATAAAACAATATGCATGTTAAAACAAAAACTGGTATGCATGTTTTTATTTGTTGGTTGTACTATTCTGGATTATATGAGTGTACAACTGGTTGATGTCAGTTCTGGTTCAGATGCTTCGTAATTATCGTAGTGTAAACTAGACAAATCTTCATCTTCACTTCTATAAATATCTGAGTTGGCGACGGCCCGTTCACCTTCAGAGATCTGCCATACCACAATTATCATACATTCTGTTGTAGACAGATGTATCACGATTTCCAATAGTTGATTCGTTTAATATATATTTTGAGATATATTTTTATTTGCACAAATTAGGGACTAGGATGACAAATGTAATAACTTAGGCATTTAAGAGAACTTGTATAGCAACACACGAGTATTTAGCTAGTAAACTTAAAAGCCCACTCTTGGTTAGATCTTCTTTTGCAGTAAAGCCACTATGGTAGCGTGCATGTTAAGTTAATAGTTTAGAAAGGTTGAGGAGCTTATGAGTTACTCCAACAAACACTTACCTTATATTCTTATCCTTGTCATAATAAAAGTGCCACTATGTTGGTGAAGTTGGCATTGACCTTACCATCTTTTTCCATAATTATGGTGGAGGCAAATGATTTGAAAGTTTCGATTGTTTTATTCAGGACCAATTCAAGTTGTCGATGAATATTTCGATGCTGTACTTCTGAACTGCTACGATGCAATAGGAATAATGCTTATGATTCGGATAATTCATCAGCACCAGGTATTTCTCATTTTATCTTATGAAGGAATAACTAGTTAAAGATTTATTCCTGCTGTAGGAGTAAAACTTAAGAAAGCTTATGTTCTGAAAGTGGTTGCAGGGTTGCAGCCTTTCATGTTCCGTAGAGGGATATCCCTGTAATTTATAAACTAGTTCTAGTCCAATATTTACTGTTAAACAGGCAAGGCAGCAAGAGATAATTGTCATTTTGCTAGATTATTCTGGTTGATTTTCACCAGAAACTGGCCAAAATTACCCTCCCCCTTATGTTATTTTATTCCTTAAAGATTAGCTGATAAATTATTTGCAAGAGCATCTCTAGATTTCTGTATGTTAGATTATTTCAAGTAGTCCATAAAGTGGCGCAACCCTGTGTAAATTGGTAACTGAATGTGTGGCAAAGCTTACATGACCCATGCGGATCATAAATCTGAATGGAATTTATGTTTGTGCAGCTTATCATGTTTAAGCGGCGAATTCCATGTTTGGACTCTTACCTAGACAAGGTTTGTTCTGATTCCCTCCTTGTTTGCTCCTTCCAACTTTTAAATCAACTTTACTTGAGAGTTACCTTTGTCAATGTGGGAGTTACCTTTAGGAAAGCTGATGCTAAATTGGATGAGAGTTTTGTCTTCTGTTCCACATTCCAAAATTAGTTTGAATCATCTTTCATGTTGCACAATGGGCAGGTTAACATGTCACTTTGGCCTCGCTTCAAGATGGTCTTTGACTTGCATTTGAGCAGCTTGCGGAATGCTAATATTAAGACTCTTTGGGAGGATGATGTGCATCCTCACTATGTAACAAGAAGATATGCTGAATTTACAGCGTCTCTTGTTCATCTCAATGTTGAATATGGGGATGGTCAGGTTAGTTGATCACATCCAGGTCAACCCAGTATTCACCTTTCTGGAATTCTTCACCACATTGCCATGCAATAGGAAGACCTTTTTTTTGTAGCCTATGGGAATTAAGAAGTGGTTTCTACATTTGCAGCTTGATCTAAATCTTGAGCGATTACGGATGGCTATTGAAGACTTGCTTGTTAAGTTGGCCAAGATGTTCCCTAAACCAAAGATGCAAACTGTTTTCCTGATAAACAACTATGATTTAACAATTGCCATATTGAAGGTTGGTACTTTTGAGTTAGCATCAGTTACAATACAAAAATACCGTATGCATTGCCTTTCCAAATCTGTTGTGATCTTTGTCATACAGGAAGCTGGCACTGAGGGTGGAAAAACACAACTTCACTTCGAGGAGGTTCTTAAGAGCAACATTGCAATATATGTGGTATGCGCTTTGTCTTACCTATGGCACGGAATTTCTTTGTGGCCAGAGAAATACTGCTCACCACATTTTCTTGATTTCATTCCGGGTTTAGAGCTCAAATAGACGCCAGCAATGTTGTTGGGTGTTGGTTTCTTATGGAGCATAGGCTGATCTGATGAACAAACATTTCTGCAGGAGGAAGTGCTTCTGGAGCATTTCAGTGATTTGATCAAGTTTGTTAAAACGCGTACATGTAAGTACTAGAATTCTGGTACAACATTGTGTTGTCTTTCTTTCTTTCTTTACAATAACTGCCTGAATTTTTTATGTCAAAGAAATGACTGCCTGAAATTTTTTATTAGCGGAAGACCCTGCCTCGAGTTCGGACAAGGCCAACATCGGCGACGTGGAGCCATTGGTGAAGGATTTCGCGAACCGATGGAAGGCCGCGATCGAGCTGATGCACAAGGATGTGATCACATCCTTCAGCAACTTCCTGTGCGGGATGGAGATCCTGAAGGCGGCCCTCACACAGCTGCTCCTGTACTACACGAGGCTGACCGAATGCGTCAAGAGGGTCAACTGCGGCTCCGCGCTCAACAAGGACCTGGTCTCCATATCCTCCATCCTGTACGAGATCAAGAAATACTCTAGGACCTTTTAGTTACTTCCTCCCTGCCATGTACACTAAAATGAGGGGAGGGGAGGGATGTGGTGTATGTATCCTTACGCTGTTAATGGAAACTCTGATCCATGCCATGCTACTGGAAAAAGAACAGGGCTTTCTACAGATACATAAACAGTAGTATGTATCAAGGTTCCTCGATTGCAATGTGTGAATTTATGAGATTTCTGAGACCCCCCATGGCCCGACTTCTCTTCTTCGAAGGTGACGATGAATCAATCATCATTTTATTTATCTGCAAAAGTCCATGACTTATCTCCCCCTGGGAGTTGGTTCGAATTTGATCACCTACTGTCTGTACGAGCCCGTGAATGTTGGTGCAGGGAAGACAGTTTATGAATTCCATGCACTGTTGGGTTACTGCAGCTAGGGTGTTTGTTAGAATGCCAACCCAACGCAAACTTTTCTAGATCGTTACAAAAGTGCGTAGGGTTAGATCAGATGTAAAATATTTTTAACGAAATGTTCTTACTGAAGAGGAATATAGCCTAGTTGGTTCGTAGTGAACTTTCTTTGATTTTTCCAGGAAAAGTACATGATATAACGTGACCGGTTAGATCTTTTCAGCTGCGGCTGAACGATGCCTGAAAGGTGAACCGAAGCATAACTACACTGAAAATTTACTTGATTCTGCATGCATAGCAAATTCCACATACCCAAGTTCAGCCTAGCCGGCTTCCCTCGCGGTTAATTATTTGTTCATCTTTGAGCCTGAAAGGTGAACTTTGCTCAGTTTGGAACTAACTTGAGCTAATAACGACTCCCCGTGACTAATTTGTGCACTGACATGGGTAGCTGGTGACGATTTCTGACAGTGTTGTTTGGCTCCCTATCAATTCAGTTCCCGTTTCCATTGCTCTTTTGATCTCTTTGCTCTTCCATTTCCTATTTTTCCTTTGCCCATGTCCATACTCCCTTTGGTCATATCCTTTGTTCTCCCGTTTCCTCTTCTTTTTGCCCATGCCCACATTCATTTTGGCCACCTCTCCTATGTTCCCTGCATTTTGTCGACATTTTTTGTAGCAGCTCATCACCATGTCTACCAAAAGGCAATAGGTTGTCACAATTCCAGTTAGAGCGAATAATCCCCCAAAACTTTCAAAAGTTATGGCGTCTGAACCGTCAAGTGTGCCATCATTTTCATGGCTATTTTGACCTATCCATTTCTTTTCAAATTGAATGATAGTATCTCCTTCTGTTATGTTGACTATTGCCCTCGACATTTCAGGAGCTAGCGGAGAATTCCTGGGAAGCGCCTAATCAGCAAAAAGATCATTGTTATAAGCTGCACATGCTATTCCACTGACAATATCTGACTCTATAAAAGCCTGAAAAACAGATCCCCCCCCTTGATATAATAGCACATGGTATGATGGTTTTATTACTTAGTAGTACCATACCCTTCAGAGAATCATGCCAAAAGTTGCTTAAATAGCAAAAAATAATAATCCAGTAAACACTTTCAGGCTTAGTTTCTGATTTTTGTGCAGACGTTATGATGTACTCCCTCCGTAAACTAATGTAAGAGTGTTTAGATCACTATTTTAGTGATCTAACCGCTCTTATAATAGTTTATAGAGGGAGTACTTACTTATAAAGTTGTTGTAAAAAGGTTGTCAAAAGTCTATTGATCTGTTTGGTAAATCAAATTACAGTCAGATGAAGTATTATCAATGCTGACCTCCCAAATGGGATCTCATATGTTCTCAAATGCAAATATACTATTTGATTTAGAAAAAAAAAGATAGCCAAACACCTAGATATCTAAAAGTAAACCAACCGATAGAGACTATTTATCATAATCCAATGCAATTCCAAATAGAGCCTAAGTGTGATCAACTGCAAATATCAGCTCATGTTAAAGTTTTCGAGAGTAAATGTATGGATCTATGTTGTTATGTGATGGTATCTCCAAGCCTCTTGCATATATATTGTCGTGTATGGTAGTTAAATTTATAGAAAAAATGATTGTGTTCATTTTGCTATTACTTTCCGTGTCTGTCCTAAAATTGCATCATTCCACCGGGACGCTATTAGATAGCCCTAATATCCATTTATGATTGATTTTCAGAACATGTATGTATATTATGTTTGAATTTTTATAATGCAATCTTGTGGTGACATATGGTACTGGAATCAAGGGGAACACATAAGCATAGCATTTGCATGCCTCGGTAGCTATCTTTTCAAGAGAATAGTGAGTGTAGTTAAACTTACAAATGCAAATCCTACACTCTTGTAAATAGGCGCTACCATTGTGTAACCTTTGCTGTATTTTGCGAGAAAAAATTTGATGTATGGGACTTCATGTACAAGCGCAGCAATGCTTCCATTAGAAAGAGCACTATAGAAATCGTCAGGTGTAGCATAGGGCCTGATTTTTGATGTATGAAAACCAATATCCAGCAGTAGACCCTCTATATAGGAACCTTGGTGGAACCCTACATATTGCCCATTCTTCTGGAGTTCATGAACATCAGTCACTGTTGGTGAAAGCTGTTGTACTGTAAGCATTGATGCAAAACTTGATGTATAACTTGCTGCAAGTACTAGCAGAACAACCCTCCATACACGTAGAACGATTCTAGCTAGAAAGCGTTTCAGCTCCTCTGCAGAAATGAAAATCAAGACTTTATTAAGACACTAAAGAAATTTCAAAGGTGGAATACTGTAATGCACACCATTCCAGGACTTGCTAGAAAGCATATGTAATTTCAATTATTTTAGGTGATAAATGCAAGTCATAGCACTAGTTTTCATTATTTTAGGTGATAATTAGTTTTTCACTAATTCAAATAAGGACACTGTTCTATCTCAAAAAATAAGGACACTGTTGAATGGCGAGATAGATTTTCTCTCTAGTGAAGTGCAATTAAGAAATGGCGCATCTATGTCATAGCTTCTATTCCGTTTGTTCATTCTCCTAGGGAAAACAATAGTGGCTCACGCCCTTGCTCGTAACGTGGAGGGTACCTCATTGATTATGATGCAAGAGGACCCTCCTAATTTTCTTCGCGGGATACTATCGAACAGTGTAAATTTACTCTATAATCAATAAAATCGCCATGAATGCTCCCACAAAAAAAGAAGAAGAAAAGGCACATTTCTTATTCTTTTAAGCAGGTACAAACTGGATTATGTCATTTCCTCCCTCTAATTCTCCATACTGCATTTGTTAAGCATTATTAATCAAATAGATCTAGTTTACTTTTGAAGATAAATTTGTGCGATATGCGGAAACGCCTTGTCCTCGGTGCGAGGGGGCGTGGTACGTGTTATAGGCAGGGGCGCAACAACTCTGTAGCGCATACATGAGATCGTACAGGAGACTTTGAGAAGAAGGGATAGAGTAGGTTACAATAGATAGATATCAACTAACTACCTAGCCTATCTCCTGGTGGACTCCTGGTGCGGCTTATATCTCCTGATGGACTCCTGGCGCGGGAGATACAACGTGACAGGTTGACAGGTTGTTTGACACCCTCCCTTAATCACAACTTCATCAAGTTGAGATTATGTTTGAAATCTTCAAAGCTTCTAGTAGGCAAAGGTTTTGTGAACCCATCTGCAATTTGATCTCTGGAGTGCACAAAACGAATCTCAAGTTGCTTATTGGCAACCCTTTCTCTCACAAAGTGAAAGTCTATCTCAATGTGCTTTGTCCTGGCATGAAAAACTGGATTAGCAGAGAGATAGGTAGCACCTAGATTGTCACACCATAAACATGGAGGTTGAGTGCCTCTAACACCAAGTTCCCTCAAAATGGATTGTAGCCAGATAATCTCTGCTGTTGCATTTGCCAGTGCCTTGTATTCTGCCTCTGTACTGGATCTAGAGACTGTAGCTTGCTTTCTTGCACACCACGATATTAAGTTGGGACCAAAAAAGACTGCAAAACCACCAGTAGACCGCCTATCATCCAGGCAGCCTGCCCAATCAGAGTCTGAAAAGGCACTCACAAGTGTAGATGGTGACTTACTGAAATTGAGACCAACATTAAGAGTGTTCTTGACATATCTAACAATCCTTTTTGCAGCAGTCAAATGAACTGTGGTGGGTGCATGAAGGAATTGGCAAACTTTGTTGACAGCAAAAGAAATATCAGGCCTAGTAAGTGTTAAATATTGAAGTGCACCTACTAGGTTTATGTACCTTGTACTATCATCTTGACTTAGAGGCTGCCCTTCTGTAAGGGACAATTTTTCTGAACTTGACAAAGGAGTGGGTGAGGGTTTACAACCTTGTAGACCAACTTTCTTTACCAGATCTGCTGCATACTTTTCTTGGGAGAGATGAAGTCCATCATCATGTCTCTTTACTTCAATCCCTAGGAAATAGTGCAAGTCTCCAAGATCCTTAAGAGCAAACTCAGTGCTGAGATCCTTTAACAGTCCTGTAATTGCCTCATCTGATGAACTCGTGACAATAATATCATCAACATATATGAGTACAAATATGTATGTATTGTACTTGTTGTAAATAAATAGTGAGGTGTCAGACTTAGAAGGAGCAAAGCCAAGTGTTTGCATTTTGTGACTGAGGCGTGAATACCATGCCCTTGGAGCTTGTTTCAACCCATACAGTGACTTGTCAAGTTTGCACACATAGGAAGGTTTATTTTTGTTCTCAAAAACTCAGGAGGTTGCTTCATGTACACTTCCTCTTCCAGAACCCCATGGAGGAACGCGTTCTGCACATCTAGCTGTCTCAGACTCTAGCCCTTGGAAACAGCAATGGACAAAACAAGACGAATAGTGGCAGCTTTCACAACAGGACTAAATGTGTCCTCATAGTCTATGCCATATCGTTGTTTAAAGCCCTTTGCAACGAGTCTAGCTTTGTAACGATCAATTGTTTCATCAGATTTTCTCTTAATTCTGAATACCCACTTGCAGTCAATAAGATTTTTACCTTGTCTTGGAGGAACCAAATGCCACGTTTTATTTTTCTGCAATGCTATAAATTCTTCATTCATAGCC